ATTTGATTTTAAGACTAGACTTGATGAATATTGAACAATTGATTATTGAGAGTTGTTTTGGAATTGTAATTCCCAATTTATTCTTCTTCCTAGTGCTGCATCAACATGACTGCAAATTTTTCCATTTGTTCATTTTCTTCAATTTCAATCTTATCTTCAGCCTTCATGCAGTTATATATATACATAGATAGAAAAAGAGAAAGGAAAAAACATGAAGGAGCTATTCAAGGCATAGTAAAGAATATTCCACACATATATTACATTTCGAGACGAGTATTGCAGGTCCTGTCCGTTATTAATTTCTAGGTGATGAGAGAAAGGTGTGCAGATTTCCATGCCAAAGTTGGACAACGTGTAAGTCACTTGTGGTAACTATGGTTGGCATAAGGGTGATAAACAAACAAAGGATAAATACTTCCAAAATAATTAGCTAGACAGAAATTTGCTATCAAGTTGAAAATAACTTCACTTACTTTTTCTTGTCGATGTTAGGAATATCACTTCTCTCAGCCTTCTCCACAATCACCTTTAGAGCAAGAGGCAAACATCAAAAGAAGCATGTATTTATTTATTTACTGAGATGATGATTTATGTAAACCAATGAGAAGAATACTCCTATGAATCTCACATACTATGGATATAACAGGAACAACAACCACCCACTCTACCCCTCCCAAACCACCATCCAATGGGGACTAAATTGGGCAGACTTTTTAGCATCAACAATAATTTGGACAAATCATAATTGGTTAATCTTATTATTTCTTTTCTTCATTATTTTATTTTATTTTTTCAGATCTTAGGAGAATGGATCCATTCTTTTATTAGTTTGACACGAACAGAGGAGCATTAGCCAATTCAACAGCTGATCAACACAACAAAGTGAAAATTCAACAGTATTGATCAATAATTGATGAAAGTAAAATTGAAAGATTGGATTAGTACCTGAAACGATCCCTAAAATCCCAAGACTTTCTCTCTCTAAAAACCCTATTTCTGTCTCTACAAGCTAAAAGGGATCAACTTTCCACCCAACATTCTCTTCTCTCTCTCTCTCTCTCTTCTTATTCAATGGAAATGTTAAAACACTAATTTTATTTTGACTATATAAAGCAACCAATCGTCAAAACAGAGATGACCTATTTGCTTAAAAACTTAAGGAGTAGCTATATTGATCTTGATCATTTGCAGAGGGAATTGCCATTTTTGTAACAAAGCTTTTATGCAATCCATTTTGACCCTAAACCCTTTTAACGTAACATAACATAACATAGCATAGCAAAGTCCCAAGAAAATAAATAGCCGGTAAATCAATTTCATCTTCCACATGAGAAATCAAAGCTAACAATTTCCAAATGCATCAGAATTCACAACTGATTTAAATCCATAGCTTTAAACAACATTGAGTTAAAATTTCCGTGAATCAAACCAACAACTCTGTGAAGCAACAACTCTGTTTGGAAGTTGAGAAAGTGACCAATAGATGAATTTGTAAACACACACAGAACAAGAGAGAGAGAACGAGATAGAGAAACTCACCACAACGGAGAACCACCGTGGTAACACCGACGCAGATCGCCGCCGCTAGATCGTTGCCTTTGCAAAACCTATGGAGATCGTTGCCTTCGCTGCTGCGAGAATGAGAATGAGAAACCGGGAGAGCGAGATTGAGAATGAGAACCCTAACATATGGGAAAACGGGCGGGTACCCAATCCCCGACCCATATCCTATGGTTATTTAAAAAACCCACTTAATTAATCTTATGGGTACAAAAGAGGGGAAAAATCTATTTACTTGGGTTGGATCTCCATGATATTCATAGGGTAAGATTTCCATTGTCATCCCTAATAATAGCATACATACTGTACGGGAAAGAAATAAACATTCTCGTATAATTCTGTTGATCAAGTCTGCACTCCTCCAAACGTCGTCGCTTTACTTCCTGAAAACACAAACGTGAGCTAGCCGGCGGATGTGTGCCGGAAACCCCTCCGATGCCTAAGTCAGCAACCAGACAATAGACAATGAGCTCTGTGTATTCTAGAGTAAGAATTGTGTGTTACCTCTCTAAAGGTGATGTGGTGAGCTTTTATAGGTTCCGTGTGGCACAATCCTAGTAGGACTTTTACTTCTCCATACAAAGTCCTCCTAGGATTTAACCTCCTGAAGGATAATCCTTATCCTCCAACACCTCCCTCACTGCTTAAACCAAGTGAGATGGTTTTTACCATGGCCGAACTCCAACATGACCGAAGTAATCATGGCTATGTTGAGCCACAGAGTAGGCCGAACTATCCTTAGTTCGGTTCTTCTTTTCGCTACACTTATCTCAGTTCTCTCATGTACGAACCATGGTGTGTTTAGACCGAGCTACCGAGTAGCAAGGTTTTGACCGTTCTAACCACAATACGCCATGACCGGACTAACTCTGAGACCGGCTCCAAGTCGCTTCCGGACCGAAGTAATCATTACATTTATCTCGGGCCAGAGTAATTTTGTACCTCTCTTGGGCCGGAGTAACTTCACGGCCTTTTTCCTCAGCCCTTCATATTGTGGGCCATAATGACCACCTCCCAGCTCGGCCCAATTTTTACAAAAATTACCCTCTCAATTGCCCCTTAATTCCATCTGCGCAGCATGATAGGAATTACCTGTCTATCAACCGAGTTGAAGTTTTTAAGCCTTTCCAGCCGAGCTAAAAACCCTTTAGCCTTTCCAGCCGAGCTAAAACTCTTAAGCCTTCCAGCTGAGCTAATTTCACACCGGGCTCTGCTTGTCCGATCAAAACGTCTCTTCAATCACAGCAACTGAATCGCTTCTCATTCCCAGGACACGTGGCATGCACTGATTGGCTTAATGCAACTGTCACGCCGCCTTCGTACTCCGTGTTTTTTGAACAGTCCCGCCCAAATTTTGGCCTTTCTAACAAAAGCAAACCCTAAGGCAAAAATCCCTCCACTTCTACTATTCATCCTCTCCCTTTTCTTTTGAGTTCTTCACTATTCTTCGTCTTCTGAAAGAGTTCGTGATTTGCTGCCTTTTGCTTCCATCTTCAGTTCTTACTTCTTCATCTGGTTAATATTGTACATCTTACTTTGTTTTTGTATTTTGTTTTCTGTGTTTTTGCCAAACATATTTTTCCATTTCGCTTTGCTCTGTACTTTTCTGGAAAAAACTTAACAATAGAACATATGAGTACATGTAATATCCTGTAGAAAACTAGTTTTTGATCCAGAATCATGATGCAACCGAACTAGGACACTGTTTAAGCTAGGTAAAAGTCTAGTCAGCTTACAACCGGACTAACACTTCATGTTTACACCAGTAGCTTTGAATAAGTCAAACCACTTCTTAAAAAACCTTAGCCGAGGTAACAAACCGAACTAAGTTTGCACTTAGCATACTGAGATACCTGAATTCCAACCAATCTTAGGCCTTCGGGGCTAAACCAGCTTTCTTAGTTTTTTAGACCGAACTCAGAAAGCTGCCCCTAGACGATCAACCAGTCTAACAAAATCGTTTCCATAACCAATATATCGAGACGCTTGCCAAGGCCGAGCTGATAAAAACCCTGCTCAAATCGAGCTACCAATCACCTTGCAGAATACCGAGATAGAGCCTGTAACATCCCACAAAGTCAAAGTTGGACTTTTTTACCTTACTTTTAATTTGTAGCACAACCCAATGATCTGTGCTTAATACCTTTGTTCTTCACTTTGTAGACTTAGGTCGCCCAGGCACTCCTCTGCGCGCTCAACCGAGCTACTGAGCACAATTTTTGTACCGAACTAATTTATTCATAACTTATAAAATAAATGGGGAAGTATAGATTTTTAGTAAATACTCCGGGCGGTCTAGCCGAGTTCCGAAAAGATTACAATATACCCGATGACGTCCACCCGATCTTAGCCGAAAAAGATGCCATACCTTGGGGCAATGAAGGCTTTGTCCCCTTCACCCTCTTGTCCATAATTGAAACCGGACTACGATTTCCAGCCCAACCCTTAATTTGTGAGTTTCTTAGGCAAACCAGACTATGCCCAACCCAGCTATCCACCAATTCATACCGTATAATAATGGGAATAGCCGAACTAAATCGCCAAGACGGTCTTAACCTCGGTCTGGCCGAAATCTTTCACCAATACTCCATTGGTTCGAAGGAAGACAGCTGGGTGTACTATCTCAGAATACGCCGTCGTCGTGAAAAAATAAAAAAAAACACACCGGATAAAGACTTAAATGACGACGATTTTTTCTGGATGTCTGGGAACTTTGAAGACCAGCAAGCCCGGATCCCTGGCCAAAGTATAAACTGGAATAAAGGAGAACCCGGTATATTTACTTCGGTTTTCTTGCGTGCTTTACTATATTTCGGTTTTCGATTTTTCAGCCGAACTAACAGTTGTCTTCTTTCGCAGATTTTGCCCACCTCCATTCTCTATACAGCTACCCAAATCTAGCGACCTTGCGCGCCGCACTACGGTATCCAGAACGTAGTTGGGCCAAGCTGCTAAAGTTAGAACCGACCTATAGATACAGCGGCCGCCGAAAAGCGAGAGTGACCGACTTTCTACTAGAGGAGGCCCCAGAACCGGACCCAACCTTACCAGAAATCAGACTAATCCCACTGACCACTGAAGAAGAAATGGCCAAGAGGAATAGAGTTAGAGTGCTATTGACCGAAACCAACAGACCCGAGGTACCGCCACCAAGCCAAACGCAACCTGCTGTTGTGGCCCTTCCTTCTCAACAGCCTTCCTCATCACACCCATCCAAGCGCGCTCGATCTACCCCGACCGAACAGCGTCTTGTGGATGAGGACGAATCCATCCCTCCACCAATTCCATAGCCGAAGCCTTCTGACCGGGCTGGCTCTTCCAGGTGGGCACCGAAGCTGAAATTTCAGAACGGCCTTATTCAAGATACCGATTCGCTGGTTGCTGAGAAGGATCACTTGATGGCCTTCAATCTTGTAAAAAGTGTGTGCCTTCCAGCAGACATGGAACACCACCAAAATTTGACCGAGTTAAAGGCCATTCGATCGGCTACTAAGTCCATGATCCTGGTATGATGCCCCTTGTCTTTAACTTTAAATTTTTTTTTCTAACTTTCAGTTCGGTTTCCTCATTGGTTTCTTTCCATTCATTTCAGTCTCTTCAGAAGAGCCAAATTGTCCACCAAAAGGTATTGGGGCTCAGGAAAACGGCGAGGCAAGCCCTGGCAGAAGTTGAAGAAAAAACGACCGAGCTGAAGAAGTTCCAACAAAAAATGGCCGAGCTAGAGGCTGAGGTAGCTCGTCTAACCGGACTAGTTACCTCGGCTGAGGCTGACAAACAGAAGGCGTTGATCGCGATGAAAAACAAGTACCTTCGTGAGCTAGTCAAGCTTGAAGGGAAAAAGGACGCCGAAATCGCTGATCTGAAGAAAAAGGGGGGTGATGCCAACGCCACAGGTTTCAAAGAGGTGAAAGGCCTCTACATTCCACAATGCGAGGGAGCGAAAGACTTATTCTTCAAGTGCGGCTGGAGAAGTGCTGTGGAGCAGCTCGGCTGTGGGCCTGAAACCAAGGTCTACAATGCTCCTCAGTATTTCATTACGGCCTCACTAGCGGAGTATGCTGCTTCCGTCCAACAATAATTTTTGCAAAGTTCAGATGATGAAGATGAAGAAAACGAACCAACTGTTACTCCGGTAGTCAACAAGCAAGTCAACGATCAATCAGCTCGATTGGAGGCAACGGTTGAAGACCTGACTGTTGAGCCATCGACTGATATCGTTCTGCCAGTTGCTACTGAGACTGATCTTCCATCTGCAACCGGTGTTCAAGTTGATATTGACGCCGACCTTGAAGATCTTTTCACTTGATTCTGTACTTTTCTTATCTTTGTTACTTTTTGCTCTTGTAACCGGGCTATGGCCCACCCTTGTAATTGCTTTTTGATGAATGAAAAATTTCTTTTTGTTTTGAACTCTTATTTCGATTTATCTGTATGTTTGTACTTGCAATGACCTTTCCATGCTCTTTTCACTTCCAACTGTTATCTTGGTTTAAATTCCTGTTTGAGCTTGCCTTCTTAATAGTACGGTGGCCGAGATACTTTAATCTGGTCTCAACTGAGTAATCTGACTGAGCTTTCCAGCAAACCACTCTTCAGCCGATGTACTTATTTCGGCTAAAGAGTACTAAAAGTTGATTTAATCCAGCCAACCACTCCTTTAGCCGATGTCCTTACTTCGGCTAAAGAGTTCTAAGAGTTGGTTTAATCCAGCCAATCACTCCTTTAGCCGATGTCCTTACTTCAGCTAAAGAGTTCTAAGAGTTGGTTTAATCCAGACAACCACTCATTTGGCCGACGTCCTTACTTCGGCTAAAGAGTTCTAAGAGTTGGTTTAATCCAGCCAACCTCTCTTTAGCCGATGTCCTTACTTCGGCTAAAGAGTTCTAAGAGTTGGTTTAATCCAGCCAACCACTTCTTTAGCCGATGTCCTTACTTCGGCTAAAGAGTTCTAAGAGTTGGTTTAATCCAGCCAACCACTCCTTTGGCCGACGTCCTTACTTCGGCTAAAGAGTTTTAAGAGTTGGTTTAATCCAGTCAACCCCTCTTTAGCCGATGTCCTTACTTCGGCTAAAGAGTTTTAAGAGTTGGTTTAATCCAGCCAACCACTCATTTAGCCGATGTCCTTACTTCGGCTAAAGAGTTCTAAGAGTTGGTTTAATCCAGCCAACCACTCCTTTAGCCGATGTCCTTACTTCGGCTAAAGAGTTCCAAGAGTTGGTTTAATCCAGCCAACCACTCTTTAGCCGATGTCCTTACTTCGGCTAAAGAGTAATAAGTGTTGGTTTAATCCAGCCAACCTCTAAGTCAGTTTTTCCGGCCAACTTAGAATAGAATGTTTGGTTATTCCGACCAAACGTCCTGCAGCCTGGATCCTTATCCTAGGCTTAAGAAGGGTGTTGGTTTAATCCAGCCAACCTCTAAGTTAGTTTTTCCAGCTAACTTAGAATAGAATGTTTGGTTATTCCGACCAAACGTCCTGCAGCCTGGATCCTTATCCTAGGCTTAGGAGGGGTGTTGGTTTAATCCAGCCAACCTCTAAGTTAGTTTTTTTTTTTAGCCAACTTAGAATAGTATGTTTGGTTGTTCCGACCAAACGTCTTGCAGCCTGGATCCTTATCCTGGGCTTAGGAGGGGTGTTGGTTTAATCCAGCCAACCTCTAAGTTAGTTTTTTTCAGCCAACTTAGAATAGTATGTTTGGTTATTCCGACCAAACGTCCTGCAGCCTGGATCCTTATCCTGGGTTTAGGAGGGGTGTTGGTTTAATCCAGCCAACCTATAGATTGGTTTTTCCAGCTAACCGTACTTTTGATGTCCCTAACTTACTAATACAATCTTAGACAAAAAAATAACTATGCTGAAAAAGAATTGACTTTGTTTTATTGAGAGAAAAGAAAATTACACATACTTGTTAAAAAAAAAACTAAAAATAAAATAATTTGAGATTGGCAGTATTCCACGGCCTGGGAATTGTCTTGCCGTCCTTGTCTTCTAAGTGGTATGCCCCTTTGCTTGCTAATCCAACCACTTTGTAAGGTCCTTCCCAATTAGGCCCTAACTTGCCATCTCCGGGCACCAAGGTGTTTCCCATCACTTTGCGCAGTACCCAATCTCCAACCTTGAATTGTCTTGGATGAACTGTTTTATTGTATTTCCTGGATAACTCTTGTTGATACGAGGCGATGTGAACCAGTGCTCTTTCTCTTCTTTCCTCCGCAAGGTCGAGTTCTAAAGTTATGGCTTCGCCATTCAAGTCAGAATCAAAATTTTCGTTTCGGATTGTGGGGAGACCAACTTCTAGTGGGATCACTGCTTCCATGCCATAAGCTAAGGAGAATGGTGTTTCTCTAGTTGATCGTCGTGATGTAGTACGGTAAGCCCATAAAACATGAGGGAGTTCCTCCGCCCACTTGCCTTTGGCCTTTTCTAATCGTTTCTTCAGTCCATCCAATATTACCTTGTTTGATGCTTCTGCCTGACCATTTGCTTGGGGATATGCCGGCGTAGAATTGTAGAACTCTATCTTGTACTCTTCACAAAAGCCTCTGAAGATTTTGCCGTCGAACTGAGTGCCGTTGTCTGAGATTAGGGCTTTTGGTATGCTAAACCGAGTGATGATATTCTGCCAAACGAATTTCTTCACATCTTTTTCTTTGATTGATGCCAATGCTTCTGCTTCCACCTACTTTGTGAAGTAGTCTGTTGCTGTGAGAAAGAACTTCCTGTTTCCGGGTGCTGTTGGAAGTGGTCCTACTATGTCCAAGCCTCACATTGCGAAAGGCCATGGGCTAGTCAATGGTAGGAGTTCTCTAGCTGGTTGATGTATTTCTGGCATTTCTCGCACTTCTTCACATATTTCTCCGAGTCTACCTGCGAAATGGCCCTGTAAGCTAGCGATCTTCCACCTTGATGGCTTCCGCACACCCCTTCGTGTATTTCGAACAAGAATGCTTCCACTTTGCTGGGATGAACACACTTTAGGTAAGGTCCTGAGAATGACTTTTTGTATAATGCCAAAGATGGGGAGAGCCAAAATCGCTGCGACTTCGCTCTTATTCTGTTGGCTTCTTTTTTCTCTTCTGGTAAGATGCCGTCTTTTAAGAACAGGATGATGGGATCCATCCAAGAGGGACCTAGTTCTGTGCAACATACCTCTTCTGCTTCGGGGTCTTCAATGCTTGGTCTAGGTAGGTAGTCGATCAGTAGTGGATGAGGGATAGAGGTATCTGCCATTGAGGCGAAGCCTGCTAGTTCGTCTGCTCTGCTGTTTTCCTCCCTGCCAATTTGTTCTATCCTTACTACTTCGAATTTCTTGATCTCTATTCTGACCAATTCTTGGTACTTGGCCATCCTGTCATCCTTTGCTTCATAGTCGCCAAAAATTTGGTTTACCACCAGCTGTGAGTCGCTGTAGACCATTAGTTCGGTGGCCTTCATATAGAATGCTGATTTGAGGCCTGCAAGAAGCGCTTCATACTCTGCTTCGTTGTTTGATGCTGGGAAGCCAAGGTTGATTGCCTGCTCCACTACTAGGCCGTCTAGAGAGATGAGTACTATGCCGAGCCCTACTCCATGCCGGTTGGATGCTCCATCTACAAAGAGCTTCCACATCTCTCCAACGAACAACTTCCAGCAAATGGAGGGGTCAGATGATGTCGTGGGGTTAAGAATGTTGCTGGTGTTTTCTTCAAGGTCCACGCTTGCTGTCTGCCCCTCGCTATCTGTTTGTACCAAGTCTATGTTTGTTGGTGAGTCTTGATTTGCTTCTTTCTTGCTGTCTCTAGTCTGGTCTGCCTTGGAGTCTGACTGAGCACTTTCTGCTAGGGGTTGTGCTATTCCGGCGTCAACTTCCATCCCTAGTTCGGCTGTGTCAGTTAGGTCGACTGGGCAGATATGATAACTTCCAAGAGTATACTCTGCGACGAAGTCTGCCAAAGATTGGGCCTTCACTGCGGTTTTGGGTTGGAACTTAATGTCGAATTATCCCAAATCTACTGCCCACTTCAAGATTCGCCCAGAAAAGTTCGCCCTCTCAAACAAAGCTTTTAGTGGGAAAGCTGTAAGGACGACTATGGTGTGGGCGTGAAAGTAGTGCGCCAATTTCCTGGAGGCCATTATCAAGGCTAATGCCAGTTTCTCCAATGGCAAATACCTTGTTTCGACTCCCAGCAATGTCTTGCTGACATAATAGATAGGCAGATGTTGAATTCCTTCCGCACGGACCAACACTGCGCTAATTGCATGCTGAGAGACTGCTAGGTACAGGAAGAGTTCTTCTCCTGGTATTGGGGTGACCAGCAATGGTGGAGAGGACATGTATTCTTTCAAGCTTTCCAGAGCTTGGTCGCATTCCTCGTCCCATTCGAACTTGGCTTTTAAAGCTTGAAAGAATGGTCGTAGTCTGTCTGACGATCGGCTTATGAATCGATTGAGCGCGGCTGCCATGCCGGTGAGATGCTGCACTTCTTTTACAGAGTTTGGTCTCTCCAATTCCTGGATTGCTTTGATCTGAGAGGGGTCCGCTTCTATACCCCGGTTGGTAACAAGGAAGCCTAGGAATTTGCCAGACCCTACTCCGAACGCACACTTGGACGCATTGAGGCGCAACTTGTGCTTCTTTGGGATCTCAAACATCTCTCCTAGGTCCTTGAGATGGTCATTCTCATCCTTGCTTTTGACCACCATGTCGTCGATGTAAGCCTCTATCGTTCTTCCTAACAATGGTTTAAACATCTTGGTGACCATTCGTTGGAATGTTGCCCCTGCGTTCTTCAGGCCAAAGGGCATGACCTTGTAACAGTATAGTCCTCTTGGAGTTGTAAAGGATGTGATCTCCTGGTCTGGTTCATGCATGGCGATTTGGTGGTAGCCTCCGTATGCATCCAGGAAGTTAAGTCGGTTGTGCC